CCACAGTGGGTTTATCTGGCTGCATTCCAGTGGTATATGTGACAAGGGAATGCACACTTTACAACACGTGTAAACATGCCTAGATAAGAAAGTCCAGCACGTCTCACAGACACCGCTATGGTTTTCTAGATAGTCTCACATCTTATGTTATGCTATTAAGTTGGAAATATGACTTATTTTTCATCAAATTTGAATACTTTGTTTTTCCCCATGTCAAAATAATGACTTACAATGTCAAATGAATCACTTAGTGTTTCATAGCATTACTTACTGTCTGACATTTCAAAACTTATTATATTGAGAATTTATCTCAAAATCTTGATAAAAATAAGTGATTATTTTGTGACATTAAATCAATAATCAGAGAAAATATTTAAGGTTTGCTCTGCACTTCACACCTCAATATTGTTTTGTCTCATGTACAAATATAATAATAAAATATCGTCTTTCTCCAGTTGTTGTTTTTTTTTATTATCTTGTTCAATTATCACAAAACATACTTTTGTTATAACAGGTGTGATCAGTGAACTCTAAGGGTTAATAACTGAATAATGAGCAGTTTAGGGGTTAATAGCTAGTCCAGCACATGTACATACTATGTCAAACTAATGAAACTGACCGATCTGATGAAAGCCATTGGATCCTTCATGATCTGGGGCAGGTTACCCACGAAGGGCAGCGGTTTGGGTCCGGGGGGGTTGCGGCTCCTGGAGGAGCTCAACCTGAAGATCTCCAGCAGAATGAGAGAGAACAGACCACCCAGCAGGGCCAAGCCCACTGACGTCCAGTCCAAATATCTCAGCACATATTCCATTCTATGAGAAGTGCAGGAGAGCACAGACGCTCACACCTTTATACAGTAAAACCAGGAGGGGAGGGAAGAGAGAAAGAAAGAAAGAGAGAGAGAGAGACCTGTGTTTTGAGCATGTGGTGGCCTCTTTCGTCATACTGGGTTTTTCTAAAAATCAAGTTCAGACCAACTGTAAAAACAAAAAGGAATCTGTTCAGAGGTCATAAAAGCTTCTGCAGAGGCCAATTAGTTACTCACCCTTTTATCACCCAGAGCTCAGATAGTGTCCATACAGTTTACAGTCAAATCGTACATTTAATTTACATATTTAATCTAAACAAATCTTCCATTTCTTAGATCTCATTGCGTAAATCTTACAAACGTCCAGTTATTGCAAGAAGTGGGAAAATTATGTAAGAATGACGCAACCTCATGTCATTCACCAAGATTTCACCTTTGTTGCAGTATATAGTGTGGGAGTGGTTTCCTGACTGGCTTCCTTGTTTGGGTGGAGGCAGATTTTCCACCCTGGAACTTAAAGCTGAGTGTCGTAATCCACATGTATATTACTTAGAGTTGAAAACACATATTGGACTTTTAACTGACTTGAACTTTAGACCACCATCATTTTGCTTTGAGTGACCCTGTATATTATTTATGTTAACTCTAAAAAATAAAAAAATATATATATTTAAACATTCCATTTTGTGACTGCCTATATAGTGTGTTCATTTATTTAACCTGAGAAATCCAACAAAATGATTAGAATCATTCAAGGCATTTTAAAGCTTCCCTATATATGTTATAGGGATTTGGAGACCTCTCTGGTGGAAATGTGTAATTACACGAAATGGGTGGAAGACCTTTTGTAGCATGGGTTGTGCTTTAGACCCCTTCCCTGAGTGGATGAATCTGATGATTGCAAATGTGTTAAAAGAGTATTGAAAAAGAACTCGGTGAAGGATGTATCTTCTAAGAATGTGAGTGAATTATCAACTATTGTTATTTCTTCATCAGTATATTATTGATTTTGCATTTGAGGCCTAAACATCGAGCTGGGCCTTCTTTTTAATACTTCTGATTGGCAGTTTATGTCAAGTCAGCACATTACCTGTGCAATGGCTTAACATGCTGACTTGCCAATCAGAAGTGTTTCAACAAGCATGATGAAGTTTACTAATAATGTACAACTGATCTACAAATTTACAAAATAACTCTATTACTATGCATTTTTTAGCATACTAAATTCACTAGCTACTATATTTGGTCTGGGTGCCAATGTGGGTTCCATATGACAGTAGGTGGGTGGGTGAGGGGTGCCGGGCACAAAAAAAGAAAAAACAATCTTGAATTTACGTCTTAACCTGATGACAGACATTTAATTTGGGGAAGGACGTTGAAGTAAGAGCAGAAATTATGGATCAATGCATGTAAATTATTTATTATTTATTATTCTACCACACATTGATAACAATAAAAACACATAGTCTTTCATTTAGTATAGTTATCAAACAAAATGGCGCAGCACAAAAATTTGTTTTACTACACTCTTTTACAACCTAAGAAAAGCACGACCAGGTTACATTGAAGTCCCTGTAGTTACTGAATAATAAGCCCTGGTATGAAATAATCCTGGGAGTTTAAGGGGTTAAAGGACACGGGAAGCATTGCTATATTTCTTTATGAGGTCTGTGTTTCTTCATGAGGCTTTAATGCATCATTTTTACCGAAACTGCGCAAACAAATGTTTACTTGGAGGTCACCTATTGACTACCTGCCATGGTGAGTTCACCTTCTCTCGTGTCTTCATTCATGTCTTCAGTTGCATCAGAAAATGAAGAGGTGCTGCTGTCCATCTCTCGGTGACTGTGGCTGCTTCTGGAACTAACAGTGTGCATTTTGCAGGTTAACTGCTGGGCTAAGGCTAAACTTCAGGCCAAACACTGTCTGTTATATTAGCTATTTAAAAAAGCGTAATTGCTGCTCTGAATCCAATTTTGTGCTTGTTTATCAGCTTGTCAAAAGTTTGGGCACAAACTGATCCTCCGGCGGCACGTCTATGGTGTAACTTCCATTTTGTTGGCGATAGATGGCAATTATAAAATGTATTTTTTCTTACCAGGGAAAATTACCTCAGTGTTTCAGGTGTTCATTTTTGGGAGATTGTGTCATGCTATGAATTACTATGGAACATGTAATGAGGAAATGCACATCATGCAAGCGGCAATACATGCTGGTATGTACACCGTTCAGGCATAACATTATGACCACCTCCTTGTTTCTACGCTCACTGTCCATTTTATCAGCTCCACTTACTATATAGGTGCACTTTGTAGTTCTACAGTTACAGACTGTAGTCCATCTGTTTCTCTGCATACTTTGTTAGCCCCCTTTTACCCTGTTCTTCAGTGGTCAGGACCCCCATAGACCAAGCAGGTACTATTTGGGTGGTGGATCATTCTCAGCACTGCAGTGACACTGACGTGGTGGTGTGTTAATGTTTGTTGTGCTGGTCTGAGTGGATCAGACACAGCAGTGCTGCTGGAGTTTTTAAACATTGTCCACTTTATTAGACACTCCTACCTTGTCAGTCCACCTTGTAGATGTAAAGTCAGAGACCATAGCTCATCTGCTGCTGCACAGTGTTGGCCATCCTATAGTCCTTCATCAGTGGTCACAGGACACTGTTGGTTGGATATTTTTGGTTAGTGGACTATTCTCAGTCCAGCAGTGACATTGAGGTGTCACAGTGAGTGGACATAGTGTTTAAAAACTCCAGCAGCACTGCTGTGTCTGATCCACTCAGACCAGCACAACACACACTAACACACCACCACCACGTCAGTGTTACTGCAGTGCTGAGAATGATCCACCACCCAAATAGTACCTGCTCTGTGGGGGTCCATGGGGGTCCTGCCCACTGAAGAACAGGGTAAAAGGGGGCTAACAAAGTATCAGAGAAACAGATGGACTACAGTCTGTAACTGTAGAACTACAAAGTGCACCTATATAGTAAGTGGAGCTGATAAAATGGACAATGAGCATAGAAACAAGGAGGTGGTCATAATGTTATGCCTGATCGGTGTAGATCACTATGAATGAGCAAAAGTGTTGCTGTTACACTATTACCTCTTAATGTCACAGTAAATCTGGATCTGCATGTTATGAATGCAGCCCACCATGTCTGAGGTCAACTGGTACACTGTTTCAGAGTCAGGCTCAGTGATCAGAATAACATGATCACCATTCAGGTCTGGCCTTGTAGAAGAGTGACTCATCATAACCCATTTTCAAGGTGGCAATTAAATGCCATTTCAGGCTATTTTGGAGGTCCCTCAGTTGAGCTATGCAATATTTTTAATTCTTTACATTGATGGAATATATTTAGAAGAAAATATGGATGAACCCAAATGGATTTTCATCTTCGAAGGTGAACATTTTTAAAATTATATTTATTTATTTTTAATTTTTTATTATTGTGTTAAAATGCTGTTTGTTTACTGTGTCTGTTTTTTTGAAGAAAGCTGCAGGTGTCCATTTTATTTCAGCCTGGCTGTCTTTGTGGAGAGGTGTAAATAATTTTTCACAGCAGGGGGTTCTCACCCACCCTTTCAGACCTCATTGCTCACTAGCAGCTCAACACAGGGTGAAAACGTTTCACACACAGATACACAACGGAGTCTTAGTCATCTAAATCTGATAATCAGATTTTTCTGATCAGGCATCTTTACGTATTAATATTACATGCACAGTATTTAAAAGAAGGCCCAGCTCGATGTTTAGGCCCCAAATGCAAAATCAATATTATATTGATTAAGAAATTAAACAATAGTTGATAATTCACTCACATCCTTGGAAGACACATCCTTCACCCAGTTCTATTTGAATACTCTTTTAACACATTTCCAATCATCAGATTCCTCCACTTGGGGAAGAGGTCCAAAGCAAAAACGAAAAAGCTACGAAAGTTCTTCCACCCATTTTCATGTAATTACACATTTCCACCAGAGAGGTCTCCAAATCCCCATAACGTACATAGGGAAGCTTTAAAATGCCTAGAATGATTCTAATTATTTTGTTGGATTTCTCAGGTTAAATAAATGAACACACTAAATAGCCAAAAGCATGTGAACAATTTTTAAGTTCAGGTGTTTAAGCCACACCCATTGCTAACAGGTGGATAAAAGATAGTCACAAAATGGAATGTTTAAATACTTATTTTATTAAAAAAAAACATAAATGATCACTCAGTGGTCACTCAAAGCAATATGATTTTAGTCTAAAGTTCAAGTAGTATTAAGGTTGAACATGACTTAGTGAGTGGTCTCTCTGCTGTGGCAGATTGTATGGAAGGGAAAAGGAGAGCGGACCATTCCCATGACTCCATCCATGTTTGGGGGCGGAGCTCCAGGAGGCCACGAGAACTTCAGCCGCTGGATCAGAGAGGTGAAGAAGATGAAGAGCTCGGTCTTCGCTAGAGACTCACCCAGACACACCCTCGGACCTGCAGCACACATGTATACACACACTTTTTACAGCTTGTCTGGACATTTGGTCATACATGTGTCCCATATGTGTCATTTATGTCTTCACTGTGGTTTATTGGCTTTGCTGTAGATGCTGCAGACTCACCCAGAGAGAACGGCAGAAAGTAGTCGTTTTTGCAGAACTGTCCTTTCTCATCCAGAAAGTTCTCTGGGTTGAACGTGTTCGGGTGCTTCCAGTGCTCTTTGTCAGTCATGATGGCCGTTAAGTTGGCAAGGATCTCTGTTCCCTGCCATGGGAAAAAGAAACAGATAAATAACACACATAAATTATGCACTCCATTATAATCAAGATAATCCCGTGACCAGTAGGAATGCACATAGAACAGTGTTAACCCTCTACTGCATGCATTATGAGAGCAATTAAAAAAAATCAGTTCAATTTTCTTGCATAAAATTATCCTTGGTTTATTTTTTCAAACCCAATTATTAAATTTAAAAACGTAAAAAAAATGATAATACATGCAGGGATCCTTTTGGTGTATGTTGCCTTGAGGCAACATTGTGCGACAGTAGGAAGAAAATGATATAGAGCCGTGTTCCCTGAAGTGGTGAGACCTGGTTTGTGACTGGCTAAATCCATTTTGCTGTTGGACAATGTTGCCTCTAGGCAACAAATATATTTCTGCAAATTCTCATAACAAAAAATTATACTGAACATTAAAAAGAGGTGTAAATCCATTTATTGTTAATCCTATCATTGTCTTTAATTAGGTATAATTATTGTAAATTGAAGAAAATGAGTTGCTGTGAGGCAACATTGTGCAATACAGGGTTAATAGTTGAAGGTGTTCCATCATAAATAATAGATTTCTGTAATCAGCATCAGTAAATGTAATAAAACCTGGTGGAGAGAATATCACTGACTGGAAGAGGTTATCTGTGATTACACATCGTTTTATACCTCCAGCCATTCGACCTTCCGTTCAACTTTCCACCCATTCAGCCTTTCACCCATCCATATTTCCATACGTTCATATTTGTGTCTGTTCAGCCTTCAATCAATGGTCGATCAATTCTCCATCAATGGTCGCTACCATCCACACAGCTTTTCCTCCATTGAAACATCCATCTATTCATACTTTTATCAGTTCAGTCTTTCTTTCAGCCTTTTATTCATTCATCTATTTATATTTCTATTCTTTCAGCATTGCATCTTTCCATATTTCTATCCATTCTGCTTTTTCACCTTTAGTCTTCCATTAATTCAGCATTTGTTCCATTCATACTCCCATCCATCCATACTTCCATCCATTCAAACTTTCAACCGTTCATATTTCCAATCATCCATTCTTCCATCCATTCATATTTCCATTCATCTATTCTTCCATCCATTCATATTTGCATTCATCCATTCTTACATCCATTCCTCCATTCCTCCATCCATTCATACTTCCATTCATCCAAACTTCCATCCATTCATACTTCCATTCAAACATTCTTCCATTCATTCATACCTCCATTCGTTCATACCTCCATTTATCCATTCTTCCAGCCATTCATACTTCCATTCATTCATACTTCCATCCATTCATACTTCCATTCATCCATACTTCCATCCTTTCATACTTCTATTAATCCATACTTCCATCCGTTCCAACTTTCAACCATTTATATTTCCATTCATTCAGCTTTTCGTCCACTGAATCAGACACTCTTCCATCCCTCCATCTTTACCGCGGGCAGGTGGTATCCCTGTAGCTCTGTTGGTTGTGTGGTTTGGTGCATTGCGCCAAACGGAGCAATGTTAGCACAGCGCTGGATCTCACTGACAGTGGCGTAAGTGTATGGGAGCTGTGTGCGGTCATCCATGCAGGGAGGGCGGTCAAATCCCAACACCTGAACAATCTCTTCGTGACAGCGCTCTGGTCAACCAGACACACAAAAATGGAATAATTAAACAAAATGAAATAAATGTAAGATATAAGAATCCATTATTTGTGCTCCCTCTAGGTAGTAATATTTGAAAAATGTTGTTTCATCCCACTGTAATGCTGACGACACTCAGCTTTACTAGCCTTTAAAACCGAATGACCTATGTTCTGTAGGTCATCTTAGTGAATGCCTCAACGATATAAAGACTTGAATGGCCAATAACTTTTTCCAATTAAACATACATACATACATACATACATACATCATCTAAACCGCTTATCCTTCTGGGTCGCAGTGGGGTGCTGGAGCCTATCCCAGCTGTCATTGGGCGGAAGGCAGGATACACCCTGGACAGGTCGCCAGTCCATCGCAGGGCAGACAGACAGACATACACATTCACACACTCACTCACACCTAGGGGCAATTTTCAGCATGTCCAATCAGCCTGACTGCATGTCTTTGGACTGTGGGAGGAAACCGGAGTTCCCGGAGGAAACCCACGCAGACACAGGGAGAACAGGCAAACTCCACACAGAAACGACCCTGGTCACCCAGCTGGGAATCGAACCCAGGCCATATTAAACAAACACAAATCAGAAATTTTTCTTTATGCCCCCCTCTACGTCTAAAAGCCCTGGCACATTGTCAAAATATGTTAAGCCCAGAGTCAAAAATATTGGTGCTATCTTGGATCCAGACCTCAGATTGGATCAGCAAATCAATTCTGTTATTAGTAGTTTTTTTTGTTTGTTTGTTTGTTTGTTTTTTTTTTTCCAGCTCAGAGAAACCTCTAAAATCAAGTCATCTCTCTCTGTTCTGTCTAGGCAACAAGTCATCCATGCTTCTATATCTTTTCACACAGATTACTGTATGTCCCTCTATCTGAGCATGAACAGGAATTCATTGGCACGATTGCTCCTTGTACAAAATGCAATGGCTAGAAACCTGATGGACACCAGGAAAAAGGGAGCACATCACCCTGGTTTAGCTTCATCCTACTTACTTCCTGTCAATTACAGGGTCCATTTTAAAGCATTACATGGACAAGCACCACCCAATATTACTCATCTACTCTGCCCTTACTCTTACTCGTATTCTGACCAGTTATTGTTGGCTGTTCCTCGATCTCTGCTGAAGCTGAGGGGTGATTGTGCCTTTTCAGTTGCAGCACTGACGCTATGGCACAGTCTTACGCTGAATATTAGGCCCCCTTTCTAATAGCTTTTAAGTCTAGAACTAAAACAAATCTTTTTACAATGGCATTTGAACTTCATGTGTATGTTTTGTTTTTTCTTATGTTTTATCTTTTATCTTAGCCATTTTTAACTTTGCACAGCACTTCGATTGATGTCATTGTGTTAAATGTGCTGTGGAAATAAAGTTTACTTGCTTTCCTACTTACTACAAAGAAAATAAGGCCTTATTCTCTACCTTGCATTTCTGGGTGCTCCATCATGTAAATCAGGCCCCATCTGAGAGTGGCCGCTGTCGTGTCTGTCCCAGCAAGGAAAAGGTCAGAAGTGGACACGATCATGTTGTCCTCATGGAATGTAGAGTCCTCCTTTGACTCTTGCTACTCGGAACAAAAAGAGATGCACTATGTTTTTAATGTTCTTTAAATGTGTTTTACGGTGATATACACATCCTGTGTTTAATTTTAGGAAAACATGTTGAGTACTAGCAGATTATACTGCCTTATTGTACAGCTTATTGTACAGCTAATTGTAATAATATTACAATAACACATCAAAACGTCCAGTATCATCAGCTTTACATTGTGTCCTAACAGTGAGCATTTGAATGTAGCATCGAATCATTTTGCAAAGCCTTCAGAAAGTGTGAAATGCAAACAAACCACAGGCCTTTCAGGTTGCACCACTGTTATCTGTGAACCAGGGTAAATGCAAAATTGTTATCCCAAGCACTGATTCCTATCTTTGAAGTTTTACTGGACTTTTAAGAATAAGAATTCGCAGAATCAAAGACAAGTAAAAGGCACCAATGCATTTGTTATCCAGTATTTTCATTGACTTTCTTGGATGTTAAATGTCAACACTGTTATCCAAAAACATACATAATTGAAATCCTGGAGATTTTGTTTATTACTTCAACATTTTATCTTGTTGTGCCATTCACACAAAGTGGTAACTCTATGTGATGTGGATCGCTTTGAGGGCTGAAAAAAGACTCAAAGAATACTACTTATTTAATTTTTAATACTTGCAAACTGCGATGGCCTGGTGACCTGTCCAGGATGTTTCCTCCCTTATATCCAATGACTGCAGGGATAGGCTCCAGCTCCCCCCGTGACCCAGAAAAATAAGCAGCTTAGAAAATATATATAAAAATATAAATTCTAAATTAAGCCAGACGTATCCGATAGGGATTTAGTCTCTATGGGAATTGCAATGTCATGTTAGTGCCAAGCTAGCAATCACTTCCTCACACTATATATACATAGTGTGAGAAACTGCATAGTTTAATACTATACAGCTCAAGTTTAAACACTGTTTTTCGAAGCATGTTAGGCATGCATTTAACACATTCTTACTTTGCATACTGCAATGTTCAATTAACCCATCAAGCCATCATATTTGCCCTTTCTGATGTTGAAAACCAGAAGGTTGAGAGCTTGATGTGAAGTCAAGAAGATTATGGATAACCTGGTGAATGGATCACATGTCCCAGTGCCAGGAAAGAATGTTAAATTCATAAAAAAAACTAAACTCTACTGGAAAGCAGATCCCCAGGATAAGGGTTGGGGAGCTTTGGTGTAAAGTATGTGGTCTCCTGGCTCCCTGCTCACCTTGGTCATCTCCACCAGGTAGGCATCAATGAAATCTCTGAGGTTTTCTGGGTCCAGAGTCTCTCTGTGTTCTTCCACAGCCTCATGAATAAACCCTAATAAGGATTTGGCATTTTGTGAAATCTTCTGGTGCGGCCCTGGAAAGTGCTTTATGAAAGGGACCAGGTTAAATATCTGCAGGGAAAAAAAGGCCATGTCAGACCAAATGATGTTTGCAGTTTACACTTGTCAACAATTCCCAGAAATGTTATCACTGTAACGCCATTTAATGTTGAGCTAAATCAAATATATTAGCTCTTACTCCAATGACAAAGTTCCTAGTTAATTTATTTTATAACTATCTGGACAGAAGACTTGGATTAAATTCAATTATAAATGGTTATTTTATTTTTGTTCCAGGTTTGGAGTAGAATCTAGGCCTGTAAAATACTGTTTAGCATATAATTCATCCAGGCATTGTAGTGTTTACTCTACATTCTCTAGAAACAATGACATGTCTTGACTCGGCAATGATCATCATGATCCTGCTGGTCATTACCTGTCCCACAGATGATCCGGCAAGCTGAATGTTTTCATTCAGAATTTCGAGCAGCTTAGCAAAGCGCTTGTTGTCATACTCGAAGCGGTCTCCAAAGACAATGGAACAGATGATGTTAGAGGCTGCATTCATAAAGAGGTGGATGGGGTAAAAAGCCTTCCCTTAAAAAAATAAGGAGGTACAATAACAGAGCTTTATCTCACCTTGTTTCAAATATCGTTAAGAGTGACATAATTAAACAAAGAGTTAGAAGAGGTAATTTGAGGTATATGGGCAAAAACATGTGACCACCTAACCATACTTATTTGATGAGCTTGTTGGTCATCCCATTTCAAAACCATGGACATTTATATGGAGTTGACCCCCTCTTTTGCATCATGGGATCTCATCAAAGATTATGGGAACATGCTAAGTTGAAATACTGGCTTTTTTGACAACGGTGCTACAGCCAATGTGTACTCCTTTGAAATTTTCATTCCAGAGCAGAAAGTCTGTTTGTGCTCTGGCCTGTGATCCTGCCTGCTTCCCATTTCCCAGTACCATTTCAACACCCCAGGTTTCTAGATATGAAACAACCTAACAGGCAAACACAGTATGCTGCAGTCATAGAAGCAAGCAAACAAGCTGGATCCCCAGGAAAATCATTAGATTCTACCAAACCTAAAAAGCCTCTCCTAATCCTCCTAAGTTTTCTTCTAAAAAAGCTCCACAACCAGAGACATAGAAAATACATGAGTAAATATTGGTGATGATTTTGAATGATGGGGACAGTTTAGAGCCCAGAAAGACTTTAAGACAAATGTTGAGTTGGCTAATTGTCTCCTGGACTGGTAAGCAGTGAGGTTCACCTAAGGTGAGCTAAACTTAGCTTATTTTTCACCAGCTGACAGAATTATAAAAAACCCACATGGGCTGGTTTATAATTTGTAAACATATTCATTAGCTGATCAACTGTGTAGGACTCGACATCACTTGCTATTGTCTGTCTAAAGTTTGGTGTTGCGCTCATCTTACACTCACTCGTGTATGGAGGAGGGGGCAGGGGCAGATAACACTTTCCTTTTTTTTTTAATTTAGACAGCAGTACCCATTTCAAACGCTTGCTGTAAGAATTACATATTGTTCCTTTAACCAAACTCTTGCCCCAAATTTGAACATATATAGTTCTTTGAAAGCTGTAGTATTGACATTACCCTCCACTGTAATGTGCTTTACCCCACTCCAGCCAACCCTTTTGCATAATGATCTTAGGCTTATGTGCAGCTGCTTGGCCATGGAAACCCATTTCATGAAGCTCTCGACACACAGTTCTTGTGCTGATGTCGATTCTATATGCAGTTTAGAACTCTGTAGTGAGTGAGCCAACAATGTTAGCCATTTTATAAGCTATGCCCTTCAGCATTCGGTGGACCTGCTCTGTGATCTTGTAAGGGCTACCGCTTCATACCTGAGCTTCTGTTGCCCCTAGATGACTTTAGACAAAGGTGTCTTTGTGTTAAGTCAGTATCTTTAGTATGACGTATTCTGCTGTCAATGTTTGTCTAATGAGATTGCATGGCTATGACCATGTGCTTGATTTTATATCCCTGTTAACAAAGGGTGTGGCTGAAACACCTGAACCTGAGTATTTACGAGGGTTGTCCTCATACTATTTGCTGTAACATGTATATATGCTATGGTTGACCTAAAAGGGGTAGTGTGAATACAGCGGACTGCCATCTGTTGGTCTGCACTGATCCACTCAATCACAAGACTAGCGAATGCAAACGCAGCTACTCATCAGCTACCTTCCTGCTTGAGCATCTCACTGATGAGGTATTGCGCCTCTTCGGCCACGCGCTCCTCTATTGTTTTCTTCCCCAGACCAAAGTTGCGCAGTGTGTGCAGGGCAAAGCGGCGCTGCTGTTTCCAGGCATTACCGTATGTGACCATCACGATACCTAAGAGAGGAGATAAAAGGTAAGAAATATAAATGGTAGGACAACATGGCAGTAGAAACGGTAGAAGCAGGGATTGTCAGCTGTCTATAAGAAGATGCAGCAAAAACATTTGAGGCATATGTTACTGACCATACCCGTTGGTGATCCAATCCATTAATGGAATGAACGGCCTTCCGGAAAACACGGCCCCATTCTGAACGAAAGCTTCCTTCACAATCTGCATGTTATTCAACACAATAATTGGCTTCCTGCCCCTATATATGGTGCACATCTTGCCATATTTCTGCATCTGGAAGGGATGCAAAATGTTTACTGTACCTGCAATGTTAGGATGCAAAAGTGCAGCTGTCTGAAATCAGCCTGGTTTCAAGTTTGTTCATTAACCAACACACAATGTAAATCCTGATATACCCACTATTGGCTGAGAAATTTTAGCATACAATTGAACAAGTATCATCCAGCCACAGGTCAAATTGCTTACACACCTGACCCAACTCATCACATTTGAGCAAGACGTGGCCTGAGAATTTTGCACGGTGTATGTTCAGCTCACCAGATCAGATCAGATCATTCATCTTATACTGATAATGTGCACTGATTGCTCCTCCTAATGTCTTTAGCTATTGGGTGATAACATTACTGTTTCCTCACTAATCAGTTGGATGATATTCAGCAGCAGAAGAGAAAGTGTTTGTTTACTCTCTCTGCACTAGCAGACAAAAGGAGGAGGTTACATAAGCCATGGTGGGTTTATCTGGCTGCATTCCAGTATAACACGTGACAAGGGAATGCAAACTTTACAACACGTGTAAACATGTCTAAATAAGAAAGTCGATCTCGACTGACAGATAGTTTTCTTGATAGTCTCACATTTTATGTTTGTAATCATATTCAAGTACAAATTAATTATTGTTTTTAGCACAAACAGAAAAGTAATGCCATGTATCTGTGAAAGCCTTTTCCTGCCATGTGGAGCAGAAAAAAATATTGTGTAATAGTATTATATAACCTGCTTTCTCGACATTCTGTGTTACTATGTAAAAAGAATGAAATATTTTCTTTAAATATTTTCTTTAAATATGAGTTATTACATCAAAATAATGAGTGTCAAATTAATGATTAAATATCTAACAATAATGACAATTAGAATATTTCCTTAATGCTGAATGTGACAAATGCAAATCAAGATATTTACACACATCACAAGTTTTTATCCCATTGAAATATCTAATAATAAAATATCTTCTACTTACAAATCACAAATGGATTGAAAGTTTATAAACCACAGAATTTCTCCATTAGTTTTCAGAAACTATTTAGTTACTACAAAATATGCTTTTGTTGTAACAGGTGTAATCAGTGACCTCTAAGGGTTAATAACTGAATAATGAGCAGTTTAGCGGTTAACAGCTACTCCAGCACATGTACATACTATTTCAAGCATGTGAAACTGACCGATCTGATGAGAGCCATTGGATCCTTCAAGAAATGGTGCATGTTACCCAAGAAGGGCAGTGGTTTGGGTCCAGGGGGGTTGCGGCTCCTGGAGGAGCTCAACCTGAAGATCTCCAGCAGAAGCAAAGAGAACAGACCAGCCAGCAGGGCCAAGCCCACTGAAGTCCAGTCCAAATATCTCAGCACAGACTCCATTCTGAGAGAAGTGCAGGAGAGAACAGATGCTCACAGCTTAATATAGCAAAACCAGGAGGGGAGGGAAGAGAGAGAGAGAGAGAGACAGAGACAGAGAGAGAGAGCACGTGGTGGATTCTTTCGTCGTATTGGGTGTTTCGTGGGATTACGTTCACACCAACTGAAAAAAAAGGAATCTGTTCAGAGGTCATGAAAGCTTCCATAGAGGACCGTAAGGTGCTGCAGATAAAAAAAGTATGTTACTCACACTTTCGTGGCCCAAAGTTCAGACACTGTATACCAGAGTTCACATACTGTGTATATTTAGTGTGGGAGTGGCTTCCTGAGTTGCTTCCTTTGTTTGAGTGGAGGCAGATTTTCCACCCTGGAATTTGAAGCTGAGTGTCGTAATCCATACATACAACATGCAATGCCTGTGCAATGACTTAATATGCTGGCCTGACATAAAGTGCCCATCAAAATTGGAGCACCTGATTTTAAAATGAACATGATTTTCCAACATGTTGTATTTCTTGGTTTGCCAGAAATCACCAAATTCAAACCTATGCTGGTTAATTATGTGTGTAAAAATAAGTGACCGTTCCAGTGACAGTGCAAGCTAGACTTATTTCACTGTAAGACAAGTTAACTGCTGACCTAATGAGTTTGTCAACTTTTGCTAGCCTCTCTGATAGGACAACCTAACTGCTAATCTAGCTGGCTAGCAAATGTTTGCTAAGCAGTAGAAAAAAGTACACATATCTATCCCTAACCTTTAAATCTGCAGATAAATCTTATAAAATGACCAACTCTGATAGAAGTGTGCCTATTTTAAGATCAGAAACTTAAAAGGTTGGTTAGCTTTTAATTGATTTCTTTCAGAAAGAATCTCACTGATTTGTCATAGACATTAAGCTATTTTGACTAGCTGGTGTGTTTCGTTGGCCCTGAGGCTTTATCAAAGTTGCCACACTTACTTTCTTACTTACAGGACACTTTCTGTGTCTTGTAAACACTCTGCAAACAGGCTTATCTATATGGCCTAAGCTCCCACCCTCTGGCCTTTGCAACTGCCAGGGGTGCTGGCTGGGCATGTAAAGATCCAGGACTCACCCCAGTTCATTTGTAGGATGTTGTAGATTAAAAAGAAGAGAAAAAATACTTAATTACAAAATTCCTAGTTGTTTTCCCAATAAATCTAATATTAAAGTCTTCTCTCTCAACATTAACTAACATCTCCTTTCTGATGTCCTGCTAACAGAGGAACATTATATCTGTTGTTTTATATATATTCCAAAAGCTAGAAAGTCATTCAGTAGAACTTTTTGCCCTAAAACTGTACATGAATATCAGATTTCAACTTAAAAAAGAAAATAACTTGGCTGCCTTGAATGTTATTATACTTTAAAGCAACAGTATGTACTGTATGTACTATGTATGTGTAATTTTACCTTAAAATAAGAGCTCAAAATTAGTTTTGATGATACACTGACTTTAAAAAGGGAGAATGGTGTCTCTGTCATTACCCCCCCAGGCCCAGAATGCCTGCTATAGCATTATGTAACTTTGGAGGAGTGGGCACAAAACCTCTCACAAGAACTGTGTTAAGCTTCATGGCACCATGTCATGAACTATCAATTATGGCTTCAGCTAGCATTAAGAAGTAGCTCAGTATTCCCAGCATGGACATCATGGCAGAGGCTGCGAAAAGATAAAAAAAGATGTTGCAAGAGCTAAAAGAGATAAAAGGATGCAAGACATTTTCACAGTTAACAGAAAAAAAGAAAATTTGACAGCAGAGTGTTCATCTTATGTTATCTCATGTTATTTATCAGTGACATTTTTGTCTTGCAGAGTTTTTTAGTTTTCCGCATGCCAAAAGTCATCTAACCTCCAACCAGTTTTAGGCTAATATGCAAAGAAATAAATTCATCTTACACCAAATCATGTAGTCAGTCTTTATCAATTTCACACCAAATAAGCCTTAAAAGGCTCTACCTTGCTGAACCCCCCCAACCCCCACCCCCCCAGCAGAATCCAACACCCATATGTCATGCAGGCATATGGACGCTACAGATAACACGATCTGGGGGAGTGGTGAATGTGTCCTGTGTCTACGGTTCTAGACTGGTTATTAAACATTTGAGGCTAATGTTTCTTGCCTCAGAAACCCAGGCCAGGAGATGCCTCTGGTAATGCTGATCTTAATCTGCTGCATTGCTGAGTCACTTCCTCTCTTTGTTTGGGGCTGTAGACCACCTTTCAACAGTCATTTAGCCTGTAGCCATTTTACTATTTAATTATTTAAAGAGTCAATCAATGAACTTTTTTTGTACATTTCTTTGTGTTAGACGTTATGCTCATGCAGGCCAAATAAGAATAAAAAGTTATGACAACTCAGTATAATAAAAAAATCAAATCTTTAATGATAGAAACCATTCAGAAAAACTTCTGTTAATTACATATTGTGAGGCTTAAGCTCATTCATTCATTCAGAAAGAAAGAAAGAAAGAAAGACTTTCACAAAGTCCCTCACCATATTATGTTTCATTTGAGAAACATAAGAAAAAAGAAGAAAGTTGAGTAAAGACTGCCATCTACTGGCTGACTGCCACAATCACAAGACACAAGATTTTTAAGCAGTTACTTATTTACACCTGGAGAGTTAAAATGTGTATTCTGCTCTTAAAAGACATTTAAAACATGCATTTACTAAATTTATGTACAAATGTGCAGAAAGAAGTGCTACTAGATCTAGTTCAGTTTTACCAGAGGAGGCCCAGTATTATCATTTGTAAGGGATTCAACTGGCAAATTGATTTGGGATAAAGTATCTGTGAAATTTCCTCAAATTTCAAATATTACATACATTAGGCAAAGATGTATATATTTATTTGGTGATAGCGGGTGTTCTTCTTCAATATTGAGTGGGTTGTTTGTGTTCTGTAATCTGCTAAGCTACTAAATAAGACACCCTCAGTGAAGTTGTCACTGGACTGCCTTTCATTCTTTTAAGTTGGCTTGATAACTACCTGACCACCACCTGAAACACTACAGCAATCATCAATCAGCAATCAGTGTAACAGGGTGCTACTGCTATTTTTTCTAACAATACTACTCCAACTGTAACATAAGATGTGCAGTTATCTACATCATGACAGTATTTACACTGCATCTGAAGAGGAAACACCAACTTTACTAGCATTTAGCTAACTGTAGTAATATGGTTGTGAAAAACAGCAATTCACCCTGTTACACATGTGTAATTACATAGGAGAAAATATGTTATTACAACTATTAAGCTATATCTGCACTACTGTGCACTTTCCTTACAAGACTGTATCATCTAGATAGATAGATAGATAGATAGATAGATAGAAAAACTATTGTCATAATGTTTCAAGTTAATTTAATAAAGCTGCAGTTTTAGTAACACTTCAATGTTATAATGTTCTTTTTTAAGCTTTATCTGGTCAGTAACGTCTAATTAACTGGCTGCTTATTACTACTTTAATACTGATTAATAAGACTTAGTATGTAATAAGCCTGGGATTTTATGAGGTTAAGGCTTATGAAGCCAATAGCAAGTAACCTATCAATTAAATAACTGCTAATTAACTGGCTAATAATTACTAATTAATCATTACTAGTAAAATTACTTTACAAAGCTGTAATAAAGGTGAATAAACATTTTCCAAAGCATTTTCATTTGTCTATTTCACATCAAATCTTGTGTCCAAATTAATAAACAACAAATTCTAAAGACATAATCTTGAATATTTATTTATTTTACTTGTCACAATTTTTGTTTTTTGTTTCAAATCAAAATTATAAAATGTTCGGTACTTTATTTGCCAGTTTAATGGAAGAAAATCTCAGGTTTTGAATGTGGTCTGGGACTTTTAGGCTTTTATGATTAAAAAATAACTATTGTGTTGCTAAAACTATTGTAGCATTATTGTGGAATGTCATGTATTGTATGTTTACCACTGGTTGGTCTTGGTTTAAAAAAAGAGGTTGATAACATGCTCTTATTGAGATTGATTGATCTGGCTCTCTGACTCTGGGGCTGGTTGACACAGCATGCAGTGATCTACAGTGTGAAATACAGACTTAGTTAGCTGGTGTTTATAACTTCAAAGCAATGTTTTTCACAAAATTTGTACATTCAGCATTGTAGAAAAAACAACTGGAAACACTTTGCTTGGAAACTATACTTTAGAAGCATTCTAGATACTTAATTTACAATCCCATTTCCCAAAAAGTAGGGACGCTGTGCAAAATGTAAATAAAAACAAAATACAATGATGTGCAAATCATTTAACCCATATATTTAATTGAAAATAGTAAAAAAAAATAAATAAATAAAAAGTAAAAAGCATTTTAATTGCTGAAACTGAGAAATTTTAATTGTGAAAAAATACTTGCTTATTTTGAATTTGATGCCAACAACACATTCCAAAAAAGTTGGGATGGGGAAAGAAAAAGGCTGGTACAGTTGTGTAATACTAAAAAACACCTGGTGGTTATTTCGCAACAGGTCAGAAACATGACTGTGTATAAAAAGAGCATCTCAGAGCGTCTGAGACTTTCAGAAGTAAATATGAGGAGGGGTTCACCATCTGTGAAAGACTACACGATCAAAGAGTGCAACAGTTCAAGAATAACACTTCTTAACATAAAAGAGCAAAAAACTTTTGCTTTTCATCATCTATGGTACATAATATCATTAAGAGAAATCTCTGTATGCAAGGGACAAGGCCAAAAACCAGTATTTGCTGGCCAAGATGTTTGGGCCCTCAGGTGGCACTGCATTAAAAACAGACATGATTCTATAGTGGAAATTATTGCATGGGCTGAGAAACATTTCTTAAAAACAATGTCTGTGAAAACAGTTCCGCACTGCATCCACAAATGCAAGTTAAAACTACAATGCAAAAACAAAATCATATATAAACAGGATCCAGAAATGCTGCCACCTTTTCTGGGCCCAAGCTCATTTAAAATGGACTGGGGGGCGAGTGGAAATGTGTCTTGTGGTCCGACAAATCAACATTTGAAATTCTTTTTGGAAATCATGGACGCTGTGTCCTCCGGGCTAAAGACCACTCAGCTTGTTATCAGTACACAGTTCTATAGTCAGTATTCATGATGGTATAGGGGTGCATTAGGGCACATGGCATGGGTGAAGTGCACATCTGTGAAGGCACTATTAATGCTGAACAATATATACATGTTTTGGCAACATATGCTGCCATCCAGACGACGTCTTTTTCAGGGAAGGC